CTGCTTTCAATCCAAACAAAGATAAAACCTATACCATAATTGCCATTAATACACAGCTGCAATTTTGTTGCCTTTTGTCTCACCCATACCATTCTCATTCTCCCTTTCCTATCTTCCCTAAACTTCACAAAGCATGAAACTTCCTGTTAAAATATAGTAGGGGCTATTTTAGCTCTTCCAGGTTCACTTAAACAAAGACAAGATAGAGGGTTCATCTTGTCATTCAGATCATATTACATGTTGCATTGTCAATAAAATTAAAATGCAAGTATTCAACCAAAATGTGGGATTTTTATGGTCATCCATCAGGACCAGAGGTGGGCTCCTACCAGTTCAGACTGGTTCAGCCAAACTGGTAGTGGTTTGCCAGCCTTGGTCGCCAGAACCAGCAGCAATCCCGGCCTGCCATGCCTCCAAACTGGTTCCCCGGTTGGCACGGCATGTTTTTTTTTTATGGTCTGTGCATGCGCAGACCTATTTATGGGCAACTGTGCATGCGCGCGAAGCACCAAATTGGGCCCGCACTGAACCGGAAGTAATGCCAGCAGCAACCCACCCCTGATCAGGACATTTGTTTTTTATGATATTTTAAGAGGAAGTTTCATGCTTTGTGAAGTTTAGGGAAGATAGGAAAGGGAGAATGAGAATGGTATGGGTGAGACAAAAGGCAACAAAATTGCAGCTGTGTATTAATGGCAATTATGGTATAGGTTTTATCTTTGTTTGGATTGAAAGCAGAACCCAATGGTTATGCTAAAAGATTATAGGAAGAGAATAGTATTAAATAAATAAGTATGAGATCATGGGCTGCTCACATCTGCTTCAGAGGTCCTACTAACTCAACAGAGAGTGATACAACAACAACACAGCAAAACAACAACAAAAAGGTGATTTCAGATTTAAAAAAAAACCAAGATATCACCCTGGGGTCTCGAGGCTTCGGTGTTGATAAGAGTTTATAAAACATTGTGCTGGATTGGATGAAAGGCCTAAACAGGGAGCACTATGTTTCCCACAGAAGGAAACTCACAGGCAAGGCACGTCTCCCAGCAACTAGGATCCAGATGCACCCTGCCTCTGATGCAAAAGTTGATATATAACCATCAGTAGCCTTTCCCCGCCCCATTGATAGCCTTATATTCATATATTTCTAACCCAACATTTGTACCCTAAAGGCAGAAAAGGTAAATGGCGCTGCTCATTTAATCTCTTAAATCTGAATGACTATAGCGTTGTTGAAGCCTTTGTTCTTTCTTTGTTTACACAACACAGAAAAATGATGGATTAAGAATCCTGTCTCCCCACACCCACTGGATTAAATCTCAACCCACACTGTTCAACAATTAGCAAACAAACAATCTGTTACTATTGACTGAGAAAGTGTTTTTCAGAACTGGCGGCAGAGCAGGCCTGCACTTGTTCAATCAACACAATTCAGCACACAGATCCATTGGCAAAGAATGGTGAAAATTGTTGAGATACTCTGCTTCCCTAGCTCTCTTTCTTGGTTCCTTCAAAGGCCATTTATCACCTGTTTTCCTGATATAAGCTGCTGCCCCCACTATTGAATTTCTTCCTGGGCTTTAGAAATCCCTAATAATCTTTCTACAATAGCTTATCAGACTTCTGGATCTCTTCAGATAGATAGATTTGAACGCTACTATGGATTTAAAGCATGCACAAGGAGAAGTAAGCAACTTGATATCCTCATTGACTTTGTGGTACAACATCCACTTGTGCCAGCAACATAGCCAAAGTTTTGAAATTGAGGAATTGTAACGTAAAATGTCCACAGGACCCATGGTTACCTCCACTGGGCCTAAAGGCTTAAGGCAATATCATCTGAATGGAGAGTTAGAACTGGGGGTCAGAGTTGACTAGAAGACATTTTCTTCACACAAGGCTCATTTTATTTCAAGAGTGCACTGCTAATAAAATGGATGGATAGATATTTTTTAAAAATGAAAAATACCCATGGGGGAGGGGGACTATCAACAGGCCAAGTATTGATATTCAGACCATCCAACCTCATTTTTACATGAGCAAAGAGAGTTCTTTCACATATAGTGAGCAGGATTTGCTTGTCCTTTGCTTTTCCCAATATGAAGGGCAAGAAGTGAGTGAAATCTCAAGAAACTTCACTTCAAATCATTAGAAATACCTTTTCCCAGACAGGAAAGGTGAAAACTAAGGAAAATAGGGAGGAAAAAGTCCATTAAAGGACATCTAGGCATTTCCAAATTACCTCTGTTTAAAGCAGGCTTGCAATCATCTGACTTTCTGCTGACCTCAAAACACAGAAAACACATAGAAATTGCCATTATCTAATTATGTATTTATTATATTTACATTTTGCCCCTCCTGTTCAAAATCATTGGGTATATAACACATCTTTCTCCGATTTTATGTTCAAGGCAACTATGTCTATATCCAAAATCATTCAGTGCAATTTCCTGGCTTAGGGAGAATAAACTGGGTTTCTAAATTTACTTGTTATTTAAATATATATGGCTGCCAATTCAACACACAACACTGGGTGGCTAATATATAGTAGAATAACCAATAATAATGATTTAAAAAATTGAAAGCAATCGAATTTGCTCTATCTACATCCTGGTTTAAGGTTCGGGGTTGCAACCATCTTTTCAGCACTTAGTGAAATGCTGATAAACTCAAGTCCATTTGAGTTTCCTCAATATTAATCCAACAATACTTTCGCCAACTGACCCAGCATCCAGTTGCTACCTCCTACTACTTTTTCATGTTGCTGTGCATTATGCAGGGGATAAACATTTGACTGATAAACACCATTTTCTATTCCTCTTGTTCCACCTGCAAGACAAATGGCCAGGTGTAGAACAAAAGCCAGGGCATCATGGTTCTTTTAAGGGACTTCTCTTGGAAAACAGCTAGTCAATGCCACTCCAACTTTAAACTTGTAAACAATTTGATGTGGTTTATGAACTGCCATCAAATACTTTGGCCACCTAATGAGAAGGAAGGACTCACTGGAGAAGAGCCTAATGCTGGGAACGATTAAGGGCAAAAGAAGAAGGGGATGACAGAGAACGAGGTGGCTGGATGGAGTCCCTGAAGCAGTAGGGGTGAGTTTAAATGGAGGGTAGAGGACAGGAAGGCTTGGAGGAACATTGTCCATGGAGTCGTGATGGGTCAGACACGACTTCACAACTAGCAACAACAAATGAACTGCAAACCAATTTAATATTGACTGCAAAATTACTGAATTATGTCTCATCTGAATTTATTCAACTATTTTTAAAGATTATTTTGGCTTTTAAC